CACAACAGTGTAAATGTACTTAATGCCATCAAATTGTACACTTAGAAATCGTTGATTTGATGTTATGTATATTTAACCACAATAAAAAAATTACAACCAAAAAATGAAAAAAGATTAGCAAAGGGAGACAACCTCATACATCCCTTCCCCACTGCCTACCTCACCCATCCCTCACTGAAACCAGTCTTCGTCCATCTTTCTTCTCTGGGTCCACTATGCAGTGGACACATTTGTCGACCCCAAGAGGTCTGGCTCCAGAGCGACATGTGGAAGGACACAAAGAGGCTCTTGATATCAGGATGGAGCTGTGGACAGAGTTCAAGCCATGTTTCCTCCTGGTATTGGAGTGGACCCCGTTCTTATTCCCCATGCTCCTCAATTCCAACCCTGAGCCAAACTCCCCAGGGCTAAATTAGTGGGTGGCCTGGAACCCACATTCTCGTTTTCAGGTAAGCCTTGATGGGACCCAGGAGAACCCATCCTCAGCCCTGAGTGGACTGCACTGGACTTGGGAGCTGGGGTTGGGACTCCTGGAATAACTGGACCAGGGGCTGGGAAAAAAATAGGAAGTGTTCCCTTTTTCTTCCTTCTTTACATGTGTTATCTTTGTAACACGATAATTACTCGTTCATGAGATATTACTCACTAATTACTGTGCCATGTAACTGTCATACAGCATAATGGTTAAGCACATACGTCCAAAGACAAGCTTCTGTGCTTTAAACATGTGGCCCTGGGCAGTCTCCTCAACTTCCAGAGCCTCCCTTTCCCTATCCATACAGTGGAGATAATCATCACGCCTCTCTCATAGCATCATGGTGACAGTTAAACATGCCACACCTCAGAGATTTAGGAAAAATACCTAGCACGTATCGAGCACTCAAAGCAAGTCATTGTTCTTCTGAACTGAATCAGTTTATCACCCTCAATTTTCATTGCTCATTGCCAGTGTGTGACAATATTTATTCCCAGCGTTAAACACGTTTATCCCACGAAAGTAGAGGAACAAGATGCAAGAAGATGACTTTACTTTGTATAATTTTCTCTACAGTGTTTCCATTGCTGGTTCTATAGTGACCAGAACTCCAGTCAGCCACCTTGGCAGATCCTGCCCAACCGAACTTGTCCACTTCTCTAGAATTCTCAAGAAAGGTACTTAAAAAACAAAAAAAAATGTAGGCTCCAAAACGGTCAACGGAGGTGAGTGGAGATGAGTGGCACAGAGGAAGTGTTTTATGGCAATGTTTGAAACTGTGGCCCAGCTATTCCTGTCCCCACTCCCTTACACTTCCAGTTACAAGAGCTCTAAAATTCCCTTTTTCGAATACAGTTGGAGTGGAGTTTCGGGCGCTCGCAACAGAGTCTTGATGCAATCTCAAAAATGATCTTATTAAAAATGATAGTGGAGGGACATCTGGGTGGCACAGTCGGTCAAGGCATCCGACTTTTAGTTTTAGCTCAGGTCGATCCTGGGGTCATGAGATCGAGCCCCACATTGGGCTCCATGCTCAGTGTGGAGTCTGTTTGGGACTCTCTCTCCCTCCCCCTCTGCCCCTCCTGCCTGCACTCCCACTCACTCTCTCTAAAATAAATAAATCTTAAAAAAAAAAATGATAGTGGAAATATGCATATCCATTTGATTTCTATCTTCCCCTGGTGTTATTTCTGACCTATTTTTGATGAAGAGTAACAAAGTTAATTTTTGGATAAATGCCAAGGGAATGGTTGCACTCCTTCAGTAAATGAGGATTCTCTAAGGAACAGCGCAAATGGGTTTAGAAAGCACATCTTGAACTGAAGCCAGCGTGTTCATCAGACTATGAAGTGTTAGAAGAACCAAGAGCTTCGTCTCTTTTTTTTTTTTTTTAAGATTTTATTTATTTATTCATGAGAGACAGAAACAGAGGGAGAAGCAGGCTCCCAAGGAGCAGGAAGGCCGATGCGGGACTCGATCCCAGGACCCTGGGATCATGACCCTGAGCTGAAGGCAGACGCTTAACCATCTGAGCCACCCAGGCGCCCAAGAGCTTCGTCTCTTACAGGCATTTCAATCTGTATCCTCCCCTCGGCCCCCCTGCACAAAGGATGAGGCTCAGGCTCCCTCCATCCACATGGAGGAAAGACTGCTGTCCACCCGGGGAGCCCGTCTTCCCTTGGAAGACATCAGGTACTACCTCTTCAGTGATGTCTTCTCCCGCCCACAGTCCGAACTCCGGGGTTCCCAGGCATCCTCTTAGCATTTTCTTCTCTCTCTTTTTTAAAGATTTTTATTTATGTATTTATTTGTCAGAAAGAGAGAGAGCACACAACAGGGGAAGCAGCAGGCAGAGGGAGAAGCAGGCTCCCTGCTGAGCGAGGAGCCCGATGCTGGGCTTGATCCCAGGATCCTGGGATCATGACCCGAGCCGAAGGCAGATGCTTAACGACTGAGCCACCCAGGCACCCCAGCATTTTGGATTTTCATCATGGTTTATTTCTATGTCTGTTTTACCCATTAGTCCTTAAAGTGCCCGAGGGAAGAAACTTCCACATTCATTTCCCGCCTCACAGCACCTGGCACAGACCAGGTGCTCAAGAGAGGGCTGATGAATGGATGGATTGAGTCTTCCTGACGCCGACCTCCTTAGGCTTCCCCTGGAGGCTACCTTGCAGCCTCCACCTTCCTGCCCAAGTTCCATGGAGTGAGAGCTTCCCGGCCCTGCCTTATACCCCGCTCTCTGGCTCAGCCCCTGTGTGCTTTCCTCCACCACTCTGCTTTGGCTCCCAAAGCTCAGTGCAGGCATGATGAGTCATGAAGAAATTGTCCAGCGATGCAAGTTCCCATTGGGATCTCCTTAATTTTGATTTCACGATCACAGATGGGAACTATGAAATGCAGAGAAACTTTTAAGATCTAAAATGAGTTATCATCCAGGAGTTACTAATTGTAAATGACTGTACCCTTGAAGCATGAGCCCAAGAGACACATCAACACGTGCACACACACACACACACACACAAACACGCAAAAGATTACTGACAATTGTACAAATTTAGGAACATATTAAGGATCATTTTTTTTTATGTCTGTAAGACCGGACTGGTACAACTCCACCCACCAAATTATTTTCCTTCCAACAGAGACGAATGTTGCTAACATCTCATTTTTCCATGTAATGAGTACACCATTCAACAACATGTTTATTTTAGAAGTACGACTCAGTAAAGAGCGTCAGGGTTCTATAGAAGTTAAAGAAAAAAACAAACTGTGTAACAACATTGAATCAAACTCCAGATCACTAAACAGTCTGACCCCAATTACATGAGGGGCAGGTGACACTCATATCTGCCTAATGTTTATCTCCCGTGTGTTCATAGCATCAGAAATGGACAAATTAGACTTAATTTAAAATCTCAAGTAATTTTGACCTCTCACTTTTTATTTAGGCTGAAGCCCAGCAGAAAAGTCCATGAAATAGAAACATTTGACCACCATTTTTGTCTCAAGGGAAGTTTGAGGTTGGGCAGCAGCTTTGAGTATTTTCTAGCTGTTTCTTTTTTTTTTTAAAGATTTTTATTTATTTATTGAGAGAGAGAGAGAATGATAGAGAGAGAGCATGAGAGGCTGGAGGGTCAGAGGGAGAAGCAGACTCCCTGCTGAGCAGGGAGCCTGATGCGGGACTCGATCCTGGGACTCCAGGATCATGACCTGAGCCGAAGGCAGTCGCTTAACCAACTGAGCCACCCAGGCGCCCTTTCTAGCTGTTTCTAACGGAAAACAAGCCATTATAAAGAACTTGATTAGGGGCCCCAAATGAGAGAGCCACCTACCTCCTGCTTTCTCCTGAATCAATTCTTCACAGTGTCACTCAATTTCAGGATTTGAGTTGAAGGTAATTTCTAGCCATGACACCTATATGCAAACACAAATTTAAGACTAATCAAAGTATGTGTAAAACTAGAGAATTCCAGACTTGAAAAAGACTTAGGAGTTTAGTTCAAGCCCCTCACTTTACTAAGAAACAGACCCAGAAAGATTAGAGGATTTGCCCAAAGTCACAGACATGGGGACAGACCCACAAAACAAAACAAAAACAGGATAATCACAATCTCCACCATCCGGGGATGGGAGAAAACACACCATAACACTTATAGTAACTTTGTTCATGTTTTTGGAATATCAAAACTTCCTGCTATGGACTTCCCTAAATTTGACCATCATTCACTATCGAAATATATAACCTCAATGTGGAGCAGTATGTGCTTCCTTGTGGAAATTAAAGCAGGATTCTTAATTAGTCTAAAGTGCCCTCTAGTGTTCTTATGTGAAAACTTCTTTTAGGATGACCTGCCATCCTACCTAATAATGGCTAGAGTCCCTTTGCCTGGGACAGTCCTGGTTTAGGGCCTATTGTCCCACCAATATCTGCTGGATATTTTTACTTTAATGGAGAATTACTACTCTATCGGTCTAATATCTGCTGGATATTTTCACTATAATAGAGAAATACTACTAATAGCCACATTAAAAGAAGCTGGAATTGGCTGAGTAGCCCTCAACTTTGCATCTCCAAGCTTCCCCAGGGTCTTGTCCAGTCCAGGACTGTGTGAAGTGCATGATCATTGCTATGAACGAACGTTTGTGTCCTCCCAAAAGTCCTAGGTTGAAACCTTAATCCTGAGCGTGATGGTATTTGGAGGTGGAGCTTTGGGGAGGGAATTAGGTTTAGATGAGGTCATGAGAATAGAGCCCTCATGATGGGACTAGTGTCAGAGTGTGCTCATTCTCTTTCTGTCCCTCTCCTTTTCTTCTCTCTCCCTCTTCTTGCTTGCACACATTGAGAAAAGGCCATGTGAGGATATAACAAGAGGACGGCCATCTGCAAACCAGGAAGGGGGATCTCACCAGACATGCGATCTGCCAGCACCTTGATCTTGCACTTCCCAGCCTTCAGAACTGTGACAAGTAAGTTTTTATTGTTTCAGCCACCAGGTCTACGATACTGTGTTAGGGCAGCCTGAGCTGCCTGAGGCGAGCAGTGAGTAGAGAGGTCACTCTAACACGTGGTTAAATCTGAAGGATGACCAGCAACGACCCAGCTCCATTTTCCCCAATCTTTCCCAAACACGATGGAACTAAGGCTTCCTTTTCAGAACTGAGGGCATTCGCTTACGAAAGAAAATGCACTCCAAGTGGAGCCTCTGGGGACAGCTAACAACCCATCCAGCCTCTTGGCCATGGCGAGAGAACCGAGAACTGCCCTTTGTGTGCTCTTTGGATCTGTCAGCTGGGAGTGCCAAGCCCAGAGAGCTCTGCAAGATGCATGATGCAAGAGGCCCAGCCGGCGGGGACAGAGTGACAGGGTGACAGGGAAATCGCGGGTCAGGGACGTGTGAGATACTTGCAGGGCACAGACTCCAATCTGGACACTCTTGCCATAATGATTTGGTCCTTTCTTAGATGATGCATATCTACAACTAAATATGTTATTGTTCCGTGATGCTTTTTTTTTTAATTTTGCAATAAGCTCTTTCAGCAGCAATAAGCTTGAAAGGGAAGCTTCTACTTAGTAAAATATTACGTGCTGAATTTCTACTTCTCAAGTCAGTTAATGATGAATGTGAAATTGCACCAAATGTCATCATTTGCCCCCCCAACACACACTGCCGTGGGGACAGAGTGCAATCAATAACTGGGTGAAAACCCAAAAGCATGAATCTGCCGAAGAAGCATTATAATGGACATCAAAAGTCACCACCTATCTAGGGGCGCCTGGGTGGCTCAGTCAAGTTAAGCGACTGACTCTTGATTTCGGCTCAGGTCATGCTCTCAGGGTCGTGAGATCGAGCCCCAGTCAAGCCCCAAGTCAGCCTCTGCGCTGGGTGTGGTGCCTCCTTAAGATTCTCTCTCTCCCTCTGCCCCTTCCTTGTCCCTCTCTGCTCACCCACCGTGCTTTCTCTCTCTCAAAAAAGTTACTAGCTGTCTTAAGAACCTTGTTCTTGTAGTTTATGATTTATCACATACAGCTATGGAAGGTGCTTACATAACATTTAGATCCAGTGATTGTTCTTCCAAATTGACTTTGCCAATTTTTTATTTCAAGTTTTTGTGTTCATGTACAAAAATGAAGCAAAAGCGATAATGTGTTGATAGAGAAGTCAGAAGAATTTTATAAACAGTTCAATGTTGCTAACTTTATTCCAGTGTTATCAGGGCGGCTTTGCCTAGAGAGATCAATTAATCCCAAGAATGGTTTGAATTCTTTGCCATGGAATCAAAGTAAAGTTTTTGGAAATTTCATCTATTTGAGATGAAATATCTGACATTATTGTCACTCTTTCTGTAAATAAAGTTCAACGTTAAAAATGAAAGTGTTTTGGGGGTGCCTGGTCAGTCAGTTGGGCTTCAGACTCCTGATTTCAGCTCAGGTAATGATCTCAGGGGTAGTAGGATGGAGCCCCAGGTCAGGCTCTGCACCCAGCAGGGAGTCTGCTTAGGATTCTCGCTCTCCCTCTGCCCCTTTCCCTCCACACTCCTTTTGTCTCTAAAATAAATAAATCTTTAAAAATTTTTTTAAAAATTTAAGTATTTTTGAAGTGCTAACATAAATAATTTTAGTGGAGCGTGGTGTCCATGGTAAAAATCAATATTTTAGGGTGCCTGGGTGGCTCCGTTGGTTAAGCGACTGCCTTTGGCTCAGGTCATGATCCTGGAGTCCCTGGATCGAGTCCTGCATCGGGCTCCCTGCTCGGCAGGGAGTCTGCTTCTCCTTCCCACCCTCCCCCCTCTCATGTGCTCTCTCTCTCATTCTCTCTCTCTCAAATAAAATCTTTTAAAAAAATCAATATTTTACTAAATTAAGATATCTCATTTTTAAATTAAGATATGGAGCAGAATTGGGGTGCCTGGGTGACTCAGTTAGTTAAACAGCCAAATCTTGATTTCGGCTCAGGTCATGATCTCAGGGTTATGGGATCCAGCCCTGCACTGGGCTCCCCACTCAGTGTGGAGTCTGCTTGTTCCTTGTCCCCACCTCCCGACTGCATGTGCTTGTATGCTCTCTCTCTCTCAAATAAATAAATAAATAAATAAATAAATAAAATCTTTCTTAAAAAAAAAGATATGGAGCAGAATTGGAATTGGAATTGGTTATGGTGTAAACATAAGTCATAATTTCACCCAAAGACGTTGCAAACAGAAGCTATATTTTTCAAATTTTACAAATTTTGAATATGCTGAGTAATTAAACCGCATAATTTTTGTGATGAAACAGATGTCTAATTAAAAACAAACCAAAAGGGGCGCCTGGGTGGCTCAGATGGTTAAGCGTCTGCCTTCGGCTCAGGTCATGATCCCGGGGTCCTGGGATCGAGCCCCGCATCGAGCTACCTGCTTGGCGGGGAGCCTGCTTCTCCCTCTCCCTCTACTGTTCCCCCTGCTTGTGCTCTCTCACTCTCTGTATCAAATAAATAAAATCTTTATAAAAAAAAAACAACAAAAAAACAAACCAAAAAACCCACTACCGTATGATCTAGCAATTCCTCTTCTGGGAATATATCCAAAGGAAATGAAAACACTACCTGGGAAAGGTATGTGCACCCCCATGTTCATAGCAACATAACTGACCACAGGCAAGATGTGGAAGCAGCCCAAGCGTCCACCAGGGATGGATGAATAGAGAAGCGGTGGTATAATGTACAACGGAATAGTATTCAGCCATAAAAAAAACAAACAAGGAAATCCTGCCATTTGTGAAAACATGTATAGACCTTGAGGGCATATGTTAAATGAAATAAGGCAGAGAAAGACAAATACTGTATGATATCACATATGTATGGAAAGAAAGAAAGAAAGAGGAAGGAAGGAAGAAAAAAGAAAAGAGAAAAGAAAGAGAAAGCAAGCAAGCTTATAGAAAAAGAGACCAGATCTGTGGTTACCAGAGGCAGATGGTAGGAAGAGGAGAAACTGGAGGAAAGCAGTAGAAGGTACAAACTTCCAGTTAGAAGGTAAACAGGCACGAGGGATGTAATGTACAACATGATAACTCAGCTAACACTGCTGAATGGCATACAGAAAAGTTGTTGAAGGAATAATTTCTAGGAGTTCTCATCAAAGGAGAATTTTTTTTCCTTTCTTTTCCTTCCTTTTATTTTTATTATAGCTATATGAGAAGAAGGATGTTAGCTGAAGCTATTGTGATCATTGCACAACATATGTGAATCAAACCATCATGCAGAACACCTTAAATTTATACAGTGATGCATGTCGATCATTTCTCAGTAAAAATGGGGGGAAAACAGGCCACCTCAGCATAGCAGTGCTAGGCTTCTCTTTTTGCTGCCATCATCAGGTGGAATCCTCAGTAAATCAATCTGCATCCCCCTCCAGATGGTCTTGAGCTTTTTTGTAAATGAACCCTCTAGATGTGGGGTGCATTTTGTTCAATATCAGAAATTTTAATCAAAGAATGCAAGGAGTACCCAAAAATCTTCAGCTTAAGCTTTGGGAGAATTACAATTATTGAACACAACCAGCAAAAAGGAAGACATTGAAACATGTCAACCCCAGCAAAGACGTGAATAAATTAAATGAGTATTCAAATCATGCCCAAGATTTAATTTTTACAATTCCATCATGGCTTTTTAGAATAAATCCACTTGTGGAGAGAAACTTTTATAATGCCCACTGGAATGGGACAAAATCAAGAGGGTCTGTAATTTTGTAGCATCTCAGTTTGGGGAAATATCAAAAGAATCTTGATGAATTTTGTCTTCTAGAAATATTTGTCAAGAAAAGGCACTCCAGGGAAGTGGGTGTAGGGATGGGTGAAATAGATGACGGGGATTAAGAGTACACTTATGGTGAGCACAGAGTCATTTATAGAATTGTTAAATCACTATATTGTACACCTG